TGAAAATTTACTTACAGTTCACGTTAACATGAATTCCTTCTGTCATGCTGTCATTCTGATATGTTGCTGTACAAATGTAACGTCCAGCTCCTTCTGCTGTTACATTCATGATGGACAAAGAGACATGTCCACTGCTTTCCTGTCCATAGATTACTGTGCTGTTATCTGCTTTACTTAGAATATTGTCCTGCCAGTTGGTTTCTGTTCCAGATTTAGTCCATTTAATAACTGATGGAGGAACACTGTCCACACTGCAGGTCAGATTCAGATCGTCTCCCTCCTTTACTGTCGTTCTGCCAGAGATCTGAGGTTTTCTAACATCTGTGGAGCACAGATTAAAGAAAAGGTTTAAACACGTTTGTTGCAAACTCCATATGAAGTTCAAGCTTAGATAACTGCAAATAATTGTCTGAGAAATATTTCTTCAAAATTTATTCAACACACATTTCACTGTTACATTAATTTCTTCTCTCAGAGTGTTGTTCAGATGTTGTGCTGTGCAGATGTAAAGACCAGCGTCGTCTTTTGTCACATTAGTGATGGAAAACAAGCACCTTCTTCTTTGTTTCTGACAGATTTTACTGCTGCCATGCTTTTCAGATACATTGTGACTCTGCTGTTCGGCTTGTTTTCTAGATTTACTCCAGGTGATAACTGATAGAGGGAAACTGTTCACAATGCAGGTCAGATTCAGATAATCTCCTTCTTTAACTGTTGGTCTACCAGAGACCTGAGGTTTTCTTGCATCTATAAAGCAAATATAAACAAAATATTTAACTTTCAGTAACACAGACACACCAAGAACATATCCTTCTGTTACTGGGGAATTCATATACCTATTAATAAACTAAGAAAGTATTTTACGTTGTACATCTACATCTGTTGTGGATGTATTCATCAAAATAAATATATTTTTTTATGTTTTACATTTTAAAAATGTCAGCCAACATGCCATTGTTATTTTGATTGTTTTTCATTTTCATATACTGTGCAGTACAAATGTAAAGTCCAGAATTATTTGATGTCACTTTAGCCTAGTAAAAGGAGAACTGCACAGTTTTTTCTTCTGATAAGTCATCTCTGTTTAAATTTGAACCATTTCGTATGGTTCAAATTTAATGGTTCATAATGGAAACTCTCAATACTCCAGGTCACATTCAAAGTCACCACAGTATCGTCTGTTATCAAAATTTACTTCACATCAATGAAATAAAAAAATGTATTACAAGTAAATACAGCAAATTTTAAAAGAGAGGTATTTTATGAGCAAATGTTAACAAGTTATAATTAAAAACATAATCAGCGGGATTTATATGACAATAAGGTACTCACATGTTACATTCAGAGTCACAGTCTCTTCTGTAGTTATGTTGCCTGTGAAGCTGACCTTACAGGTTATTTTGGTGTTGTGGTGATCAGCTGAAGAGTTAAAGGTCAGAGTTGAGACGTGTCTCTGTGTGAAAGCGGTCAGATTCTCTGTTTTTAAAGCAGTGATGTTTCCTTTGATGAAAGAGTCGTTCTCTCCTTTTCCTCTCCACATCCAGGTGATGTTAGGAGGAGACCCAGAGCAGAGACCAGGAGCAGTGCAGGTCAGAGTGACCAGCTGTCCCTCAGTCAGTGGAGGAATCATCACTGAGGGCTTTTGGTTCAGACCTGATGGAAACAGTTCATTGAATGAAAACTCACAAAACCAGTGAGTTTAATTATCTTAAATTTGATGAGGCAGATTGAAAAACTAGATGATGTCTTAAACTTGGAAAAACAAAATGAAAAATTGACTTTTGTCAAAAATAAGCTTTTACAATCTGATCTCAGAGGTAAATAAAAATAGTAAAAAGATTTTTTTTTATCATGTTTAGAAATATGATGTGACATTATACTGAAGTTTATTTTGTTTTCCTACCTGTTACTAATAGTGTTGCTTTTTCCTTGTATGTAAATACATCTTTTGTACTGTTTCCCTCAACTCGGAGCTGATAGCTTCCAGAATCAGATTCCTTGAGATCATTGATTATGATGCTGCAGTTCTTCTGAGCAACATCCGGTTCCACCAGTGACACTCGACCTTTGAAACCAGGCTGAATGTTTTCCTTGTTCTTGTCAGAGTGAAATATAATCTCAGGATAGTAACATCTGGCAGTATCACATTTATACCAAATAATATGTTTGGGTGCAAAGAGAGATGTGAAAGCGCATGGTATCACAGCACAGAGTCCAACCTCTGCTCTTATTTCGTCCTCATTGAAAGTAACACAATAACCTTCAGGCTTACAGGACTTTTCCCTTTGCAATGCATCTGTTAGTAAGAAAATAATTAAACTCAGGATTTGTTAAAAAAAATATTTCAATGAAATGAAACATTGTCAAAGTAGTTTCTTGTCAATGTTTATACAAACCAGATTCTATTTATAAGGTTTTTTAAACATTAACCATTAATTTTTCCTTGAGTGATCTGCACATAATAAATACATTGTAATCATGTGTAAATTTGTGAAACAAATATATACACTTGGGGGACTTGCTATAAATAGTGTAGCAAGCAAATGTGAATACATATACATTTAGTGCGTTTAATTTTAGTACTGATTCATGTGCATAAAAGAGAAGATTCATACATTACCATTGTTAGAAGAGAGAGACACGATTAACCAGATGAAAACAAACATCCTGATTTGAAGCTTGAAACCTTCAGTCCATTCCAAA